CTGGAGAGCTGAAGGAGACCAAAGCTTCAAGCCAACTGCCGGTCCCGACTCAAGCAGACCTACTGAATGCTAAATTCCATGAAGACAACAGGTGTGCTCCAGTCCTATTCGAGCCTGGACATCCGGCTGGCCCTCCACAGATGATGGTAATGGGGACACAGAACAGAGCCAGGAAACTTGACATATAGATGGAAGTGGATAAAACACACACCCCGTCTGACACTTTTGCCACTAGGAAACTGTTCTGTCTCTCCATAATCTGTCCTAATGGTCGCTTCTTGTCCACATTCAGGACAATCAAGTGCTGAGGAACATCCACTTCTTTCAGAGCAACCCACAATTTCTCATGATCCACACAACCAAAGACTTTGCTTTAGTCGATAATGTACAGACAGATCTTCTGAAATTCTTTGGTATGCCCTTTAAGCTAGCAGATATTTACAAAATGATCCCAAGTACCTCTTCCTTTTCAGATTCCAGCTTGAACATCAGGCATTTGTATTCTCGAAAGCTTTCATGGCCGGGATCCAAAGGTGTTTGTGGGTTTTTCGGGCTCTTTGGCTGTGTTCTGTAGGTTGTTCTTCCTAACCTTACACCCGTCTCTGTGGCCACGGGCATCTTCAGAGGACAGGAATTAGAACTTTGTCTGTGTTCTGGTGTAGTGTGTGAGACAGTTGAGTATCTACTCAACCGTGGGATCAGCTTTGTGTCCTTTTCAGGAGATTGGGTGATCAGTGCACACAAAAGACTAGCTAACGACACCCATCAATCCTGTTCACTTTAGCGCCCTGACACAAGCCCTGCCATGTTCATGTGTTCCTTTTCTTGCTTTACTGTTTCCAGTTTACCTTGATTCATACTTCTCACATTCCATCTTCCAATTCTACGGTGTATTAGCTGTGCCGTACCGACAGGAGAGGTGCGCAGGGAACATCCCACCACCACCACCACCACAGAGAGTCTCCTGGGGGCAGACCACAGAAGCCTGGTGCCAGGAGGCAGCAAAGAGGTGACACTCTCTCCAGCCCATACCTCGCTTTGGCTGTGGACTGCACGGATGTTTGGACAAGCAAGCCTTCTTCCAGAGCCGACATGGGAGGTAGAGTCATATCAGCCTGCCTTAGGAAGCCATTCTCCAAATGGCTGACGTGATTTACAGGAAGGGTGTTCAGCACTCTGATGCAGGGTGCAAATGCGATGCATTATTGCATGGAGCGCAGAGGAAGGGCTGCGACTCAGAGGAAGAGGATGTGGCTTGGGACGCACAAGACGACTCTGGCCCAAATCCCCACCATCACCAGAAGGTCTGAGAACGCCTTCTCCCTGAACTTGGAGAAGTTGCTGCCGGTCACACCAAGCCTGATAAAGGGACTGGATTGGTGAAAGGTAGCTCCCAAGATGGAAGGAGCCAGCCCCAGCCAGTCCGCCCAGCCTGTCACTCTCAGCAAATGGAAATTAATAGAGAGGCAGAGTGGCACGGAGGATGGCCGCTCAGACTAAGATTCAGATGACCTGGGTTCAAATCCATGCTCAGGCAAGGAAACCCACACCAGATGACAACGATCTTGTGGGGGTGGGGCAATCAAAGGACCCCCCCCCACTCCACGGAGCAAGGGTCAAACAACAACAACAACAAGAAGGAATGGGGAGATCGGATCCAATCCCTCCCTTAGCAAAGGCTGCTGAAATTGTGCAGGGCCCACCTCTGAAATCTGCACTCACCATCTGGCCCAAAGTAAACAGCAGAAGAGGAAAGGCGGCAGGGAGGGGGCAGAAAAGAGAGGGGGCTGCGGGGAGGGGGGGCCGTGAGAGGAAGCACCAAGAATAGCCGCCTCCCTCCCTCCCTTGCAGAAGAGTCAGGCTCAACCGCTGCAGCTGATTAGGACCGGGAGGGAGGGCCGCTGAAAGATGACTTCCCCCCTTCCCAAGGCGAAGCCGTGACCTCTCGACCTCCCCGATTACCTTGCAAAGGAGGTTATCAAGATACAAGCCTCAGAGGATTAAAGGAAACTGAAAATCAAAACAGAAAAACACCCCTTTCCCCAACAAATAAAAAACTTCCTCGCTTTGTTAAGCTGACAGCCCAGCCAGAGGTGTTGACATAACCCTCCCATCTCCAAAAGGCTTAAAGTCAACAAATCCCTGCGCTCGGTGCAGATCTGTCAATGCGATTTACATTAACTTGTCTGACATGAAATTAAAACAACAATCAGCCGCCAGAACAAAAGGTCTCTCTCTCTTTCTCTCTCTCTCTGCTGCATGATAGTCATCTCCTGCCACTGGCGTTCCATTTTCCAAAGAGCTGGAGAGCCGCATTTTTATTCACTTGTTTGATTTAGCATTCTTTGGGAAGCGCAGGGGGGTGGGTGGGGGCCGTTGCTTCCCATTAGTAGCAAACCACCACCGGGCTGCTCCCCGCCCGCCTGGGTGCAGAAGGTGGGGGTCCCAAGGCCGTGGCTGCGCTTCTGAGCACATTCCATCTGCCGGGGCCATCTGAAAACGGTTACCCGAAACCACCCTAGACGTTCTGTGCGGCTGCATCGCATGCGGGGTGGGGTGGGGGGGTGCGCTAGGTCCCTCCCCACTCTCAGCCATGAACTCTTCATGCCGGACAGTGATAGACAGCGGTCAACAGAAAGGGGGGAACCCTACGGGGAGGACCAGGAGGGCCAAATCTGACAAGGGGCAGGCAGGATCGGAGGGGCAGCCTTGCTCCTGGGGGCAGCCCCATCTAGTAGCAAGAGAATCGGGGACCAGGCGGAAAGAGCAGCCATGCTGGACCCCCCCACCCCGTCCAGGCCCTCCCACTGCTTTTTCACCATGGAAGCACAACAGGAATGGATTCGGGGTGGGGGGAGGGAGGGTGGTCCCTGCAGCGTGATGGGCCACCTCACCACACCAGAGGTCTGGCAACCCTTGGGGGACTTCTGAGGTAGGTGAGGCATGTAAGGAGTGTTTTTACTGGTGCCAGACCCCTCAGGTGAATTTCCATGGCTCCGTCGGCATTTGAATCCACGTCTCCCGAGTCTTAGTCTGACCCTGAATCCACTGGACCACCCTGGCTCTAAGCTCTCCTCCAGACGGATCCCATAAAGTGAGGGTCGGCAACTTCCAGAGATTGGGGGGGGTGGGGGGAGGAAGGCAAGTAAGCCAACCCCGGCCCCTGAAGGGCTGCACCAATTCATACCCAAAAATGGGGAGGGGGCATTTTTGTTAACCTCAAAGGCTTCCCAATGCCCTCTAGTAGCCTAAGCCATTTAAAAAATAAAAATACAATGGTGGAGGACTGGAGAAATCTGAGGTGGGCTGGGAAGCCTTCCAGAGAACATTGGACGACCTTCCGTCGGATCTGCTTTGACTTGGGATCCGTGTCCTGAGCCGAGGGGGTTGGACCCGATGGCCTTAGAAAAAGCCCCTTTGCCCTCCCCGATTCCCAGGACTCTAGGATTCCATGAAATCTCGGGAGAGCAGCTTCTCTGCCACCATCCCCGGGGGGGGGGGGGGGGCGGCCCCGCCGGCCCCTCCCATCTAAAATTCACTAAGCCATGTTTAAACATGAGGCCCCCCCGCTCATTTCCAACGAGCTTATGCAGCACTTCGGAAGGGCATCTCGGAGCACAACAGGGCACCCGAGGAGGGTGGGAGCGGCACATGGGGGGGGGGCTGTGGCCGGCAAGCTGCCTGTCATGGCTCTAGCAAGACCCCCAGGGAGGGTGTCGAGCAGTCCAGAGACAGACGTCCAGAGGGGGACTTTTGTCCAGAGGACCGGGATGGGGCAGATCACAGATGGCTCCAGACAAAGGCACGCTCGGTTCCAAGCCAGCTGAGAGGACTGCTTAAGGAGCCAGAGGCTGGGCGTCAGGGTCAACACAGAGCCCCCCAGGAGAACAGCCAGCCTGGGTGGCCTTGGGCAAGTGACACACTCTCCCCTGGGCACACATACACACACCCCAGAAGGGAAGGAGAAACCATGTCCAAATACTCTCTACCCAGATAACCCTGACAAAAAGGTAACTAATGGTCAGAATGGATTTGATGGCATGCAATTATTATTAATTCTAAGCCACGCTGAAACACGGGTGCCGGGACCTCCTTCTTCACCCCTGGCCACGGGACATTAACAGTGGTCTTTCGGGTGGGTGTGGTGCTGATCTTTCAGGGGAAGGATGAAGTGGGATTTTCACTCAACCCCCCCCCCCCAAATCCTTTGTGTATCTAAGGAGCCTATTCAGACCAAGGGAAAGGGGGAACCCATCCTGGAGGATCTATCCGAGGTCTGAACAAGCTGCATGGAGGAGCGGAACATTTCGACCTCACAAGAAAGAAGTCCCAGTGGCCAGGACTCAACCTCCAGAGAACCTCCCCTGGAGGACTGGAGAGCTTCACAGATATAAAACACTGGTGTGTTTGTATGAAGTGAGGGTGGGGGAACCGTTTTATTCCCCTACCTTCCTGGACTAACTTCAGGGTGGAAATTTGGCCGTTCCAATCAAGAGTTCACCTCGGCTTCCCCCCACCCCACTGCCAAGCAAATGGGCATCCCCAGATTTGGGGGAGGGGAGTGCCAAAACAAGTCCGGGACCCCTGTCATGGATCTCCCACCGCTTCACAAGCCAGGATGATTCGTCCAAAGGGCAGAGATTGATGTGGATTTTACAGCTGGCTGGGGAATCTGGACATTGTAGTCCAAATGCGTCGTGCAAACAGGAGCGTCTGTGTGGACGGAACCCCATCAGGTATGTTGCATGGCTCAGCTAGGGCCTCTCCAGAAGTGGGTCGATGCCTGCACCAGCCAGCCAGGTGCGTTGCTGACTTCTCCGACCTTATGATCCACATTCCACGGATGGCTTCCAACCTTCTCCTCCCTCCCCAGTTTCCGGTGGGCCCATGTGCGTGAGACAGAGAGGTAGCTCACAACAGGCACAGCCAGAGCGGCGGCTGCCCCGAAGAAGCAGGAGCTGGCCCCTCGCCCTCCCACCTCGACTCCCGGCCGCACTTACAGGCAGGTGAGTAAACACCGCAAAGGTGCTGCGCAGGAAGGCAATGAGGTCCACCAGGTAGTCGCTGGCCCTGGAGCCGGCCTCCGTGGCCATCCAGTCATAGTCTGCCAGCTGCAGGAACTGGTCAATCTTCTGGTTCAAGTTTGTGTAGATCTCTTCCTCTGCTGCATGTCGGGCGTCCTGGGGTGGGGGGGCAGGAAAGGTTCAGAAGAAGACAGACCCCAACCCGAATCCCACCCTTGGGCCTCCACGAAAGGGAGCAGAGGCTTCAGCAGCGCCTTTCCTGATCCTCTGAGCTGACGAAAGCCTCTGAAAGGGACAGGGGCCTGTTTTTCTCCCCCTGGGCCAAGCCGAGGATCCCAGGGCAAGCCACCAGCACACGGGGTCTCCCTCAGAGGCACGAAACAGGCGGCAGGGAGGGGGTGCTCTCTAAGAAACAAGGCCCCTAGGTTTCAGATGCTTCCTTGGAGAAGCATCCCACAGGACTCACTCTGTGTGTGTGTGTGTGTGTGTGTGTGTGTGTGTGTGTGTACGTGTGCGTGTGTGTGTGTGTGTACGTGTGTGTGTGTGTGTGTGTGTGTACAAACTTACGTGCGCTTCCTGGCTTGAGGGTGGCTTGCTGTTTGTATTCTTCTGGTGACCTTTGCTTTAGTGATTTTTTTGGGGGGGGGGGGAGAGGCCCAACTGAAACTCAACTGCTTCCATTCAGATCCCTAGTTATCTGCCCTTCCTAGCCTTTCCATTTAGCAGGTAAAGACAGCATAAAAGACAAATAATATACTTTCTTTTACTACATTTGTAGTTTTTTTTCAATTTTGTTTTCCCCCCAATTATTTTTCATTTGTCAAAAATTAAGATACCAGTAAATTTAATATCACAAATAGGTGAAAAAAAATAGAGCTGGGGTAGAGTACGGGACAGAGCAATCCACAAGGATTCAAGAGAACGGGACTGGAGCCCCTCCTTGGCCACGGAAACTGACCCTGAAATATTTCCCATACCTCGGAACATCCTATGAGGGCTGCCCTAAGCTGCAGGCCACTTGCCTGCATGGAACAGAACACGGAAGATAATACCATTTTATATGTCAGGTACTGAATGGAATAATTTAGATTGCTAAAGCGGTAAGAAATATGCTTTGTACAAAATACGTTTCAATCCTCCCCACAGCTTGTTTTTATCTCCAGGAGAACCAGAAGGAGCCTGTTGTCCCCGCACGCGTGTGTCCGCACCCCCCCCCCATGTCGCACCCCAATGCCCATCTCTAGTTTCCGCTGTGTGGAAGAGACGGGGGAGGCCCACTGCCGGCCTCACCTTGAAGGTGGTGGTTCCGTACAACTTGGTCGTGTGGACCGTTTCTGGAAGGACGTTGGTGATGTTGGTGATGAATTCCTCAAGGAACCGGCAGGATTTCTCCAGGTGTGTCGTGTTGATAATAATCTGGACCAGCTGCAGAAACAATACACCCTCAGTTCACACTTGGGCTTTTCGGCCGCGGATGGCCCACAAGGGAGGCCAAGCCCCCGACAGGAGAGAGAGAGAGAGAGAGAGAGAGAGAGAGAGAGAGAGCTCCCTGCTGTCTTGCAGACATGGCCTCCAGCACAAAAACCAGGTTCCTGAACAAAGACACCCCCCCACAAAGCGCACATGCACGCATGTGTGTGTGTGTGTGAGAGAGAGAGAGAGACAGAGAGAGAGAGAGAGAGAGAGAGAGAGCTCCATAATGGGTGAGGCTTCTTCAGCCAGCCAGTATTCTCTGCGAAGGAATTTTCCCCGTGTTTCTGCTAGAGGCAGAACAAACACACTAATGAATTTTCTAAATTCAGCTGGCCTCATTATGTACCCCAAATCTCATTAAAAGGCAAAGACGGTGACAAAAGGAGAGGCATTCCATACAGACACACACCGAACCAAACCAAGACAGTCGGTCTGAGGCCAACTGCCGGGACGTCTGAAGTGACAGGAGGCTGAGTGACAGCTCCTGCCCCCCAACCTGCCCCTGTTCAGATGAGCTTTTTTAGGAGAACCTGCAGGCCCCTCAAGTGGTAATTAAGAGCCAATTTGGTTGTCTTGGGACATGAGCAGGTGCAACCTCCTCCCCCCCCCCCCAACGGGGGGCAGAAAGGCGGGAGCACCAGCCATAAGAAGTGGCCACAGGTATTCCAAAGGAGCCGTCGCAAAGCCCAAGTGAGCGGTGGGGTGAGACAGGCATCTCTCTCTCTCTCTCTCTCTCTCGCACACACACACACACCTGCCTCCACCACTAGCCCAGTGCTGGGAGACAGATTTCTATACCCCACCATAGAAAAGGTGCAAGCATCTTCCATTGGCTTCCCAGCCTCCTCACTCAACCCATCAGTGAAACTCCCGCTTGGCCACGCTGGGGAAGAGTGGACAGTGGCTTCCATGCACGGGCAAAAAAAGGATATTGTGGGCCACTAGAGTCATCGGAGGGAGGGAGGGGGGCACAAGAGGGGCTGGCCAAGGAAGAGAAACTGAGTCAGGAGAGGGTTGGTGCAGGTCAGCAAGCAACTGCCCTCTCTTCAGACGAGGCCCAGATGGGGAAGGCCGGAACTGGAAAGGGTTGCACCCTCTCTCCAGAGGACGTCTGAAGCTGCTGCAAGGGAGAAAGGGGAGCAGCCTCCCTGGCCAGGAAGGGGCCCCCCCCACATACACACACACCCTCCCTTTGCAAAGCCTCACCTCCGTCAGGCCAACGTTCTTCCTCTTAATAACATTCTGCAAACAGTTGCTCAGAGTTCGAGTTAGCAGCAGATTGGTCGATTTCCGGATCATGTCATCAACCTCAGTGGAGCTGTAAGACAGGGAGACCAACGGGAAATCCACAAGGGCAAAAGGAAATGGCTCCCAGCCTGGGAAGCCAGGAAAACGTTAAGTGGCCCTTCTCTGAGCACGGAGTGTCGGGGGCCAGAATCCCAGCCTGCCTTTGCAATGGCACCAACGACAGCCCTGCAGGTGTGTTGCAAGGAGGGCAGAAGCAGCTGCAGTAAAACTGGATGATGGAAGATCCAGCATCACAGAGGGAGCATCACCCTAACAGCAAGTCTCTCTCTCTCTCTCTCTCTCTCTCTCTCACACACACACACACACACACACACACACACACACAGAGGGGGGGGGCTAGAGGAGAACAGATTGCTTCTGTTTCACCTTCTCCATCTTACACATTTGAAATGATTTTTAAATGGTATTTCATTGATTTTTTTTAAAAAAATGCACCCCTGATTCTGTACAATGAGGCCTCTGAGTCAAAGGCAAGAATAAACTTGATAAATGACAAACACCAAGAACTCTTCCAAATGAAAAAGAATGGAAAAAACAAGAGAGGCAAGAGAGGTCTGGATGAACACTTGCTAACTTCCTTACGGCAAAGGCACCAGGAAATGGCTTCCTGACATACAACACCGTAACCACCTGGATCAGGGTCCTGCTCTGCTTCGTGTGCCTGGGTTTTGTTCTGTTGGGTTTCGGTTGTTCAGTTTGGGCGACCCGTACCCCCGAAGGTTCATCGTCCCGTTTGGGCTCCTGAAGGCTGCCCAAGGACTTCCTCCGCCTTTTGAAAAGGTGGCCAGGTCCAGCCCATGCTGAGATGGCCGACTGGCATGGGGATGCTCTGGCTGTTTATCACAGGATTTGCCCAAAGGGCATGTACAATGGTGTGTGTGGGGGGGCGGGGGGTCACCAGGGAGCCCAAGGGAAGGAACAGATGCCAAGTGGAGCCCCTACTTGGGTTGCTGAGACAAACGGCCAATCCATTTCCAGGCTAAATTCAACTTGGTTCTAACCTATAAAGCCCGAAACGGCTTGGGTCCAAGCGATCTCTAAGATGGCCACCCCCACCACCCCGCTTGATGAGCTGGATCGAGTGTGCAGATCCTCGGGGGGGGGGCTTTCTTTCAATCCCGCCACCCTTGCAGGTGCGCTTGGTGGGGAGACGGGAGAGACAGCCTTCTTCTTCTTCTTCTCTATGGTTGCTCCCCAGACGATGGGACTCCCTCCCACAGGATTCCAGCCCGGCCCCGTCTTGGCTCTCCTTCCCCAAGCAGGCCAAGACCTTTCTCTTCAGGCAAGCTTCGTCTCAATGACTGGCTGCCTGAGGGATGTTTTTAAATGGGTGGCTGAACCTTTTACTGCTTTGAATGTGTTTTAGGGTCACTTCCATTTTTCAGGGTGCTGTTTGTCCGATCCTTTTCGTATTTGTATACCCACCATTGTTAGCTCTAAATATGGTCTTTCAATGATAGAAGCCGTCTTGTGTCCTTTTTAAGGAGAAAGGCAGGGCAAAAAGGACTGACGGAATGAATGAATTCAGCCGCATATCCACTGGGGAATGGGGTAAATTCTGTTTTGGACTAACGGAATGAATGAATTCAGCCGCACATCCCCACGCTAGCCCAGTCCACTGGGGAATGGGGTAAATTCTGTTTTGTTGCCTCTACTTTGCCCAGTTACTGACATCCTCCTTGCACCCAACTTGCATTGTGGGTTGTGAAATTCCTTTCCCTTCCCACGGGAAGTTTGTACATAGTTCTGCGTGCTTCTTTTCCCAAAATCTACACATTCAGAGGCACATGCTTGCAGTTAATGCCTCTTTTCCACTGTTTGCCATGTGTCTGTGCACCCCTTCTAAAAGAATGCATTTCCATTCAGTGCGCTTGACATCTGTGCCGGGAATCGCACTTTCCAATGGCAGAATGCACTGCCTTGCCAAGGGATAGTTTCCTTTGGAAAGAGGCAAGACCCAGGACTGCCCGTCTTGCAAAGTACAACACCTTCTGTGCAGAAATGCCAAACCCACTCATTTCTTTTCCATCCGTTGCCGCCTCCATCGGATGAGCCACAACAACGCTCCCTCCATTTACTGACATCACTCAACCTGTCCCAAAGGCTGCCAAGGAACTTCTGTGCCTGGTACCGGGGGGGGGGGCGGAGGCGGACTCTGCACCGTGCCTCCTCCTGGCCTTGTTCTTGGGAACACGTGCACCGCAAACTCAGTGCCTGAGAGCATCAGCCACACCAGCCTCAAGTGTGCTGGCTGACAGTCCAGTCCCGAGCGCATGCAAGCCCCTTGGCTGTCTCTTTGGAAGGCTCAGGAGGGTTTCATCCCGTCGTGGCCAGGAGGTGATTCTGGGCCAAGCGAGCTTCCCAAGGGAGCTGCCAGAACACCCCACCCACCCATTTCTGCCTCTCCAGAGGAGTCGGGAAGCTCTCGGGGAAGAAGGCCATCCTCCCTTCTCACCCTCTGTCTTCCCTTCCCTTCCTTCCTTCCCTTCCTTGCCTGCTTGCCTCCCCTCCAGCCGGCTGCCCGCCCGGCCGGCTTCCCTTTGCAAAGCAGCTTTGGGCAAGAGGCGGGCTCTGCTTTGATCTCTCCTCGGCCTTGCATTAGGCTCCCAAATGACAGGGCCCTTTATCTGTCAGAGGAGGATGACAGACAGCTGACAGGGGCAGGAAGGGAGGGCTTCAGACAGAACAAGCTTCAGAAGCAGTAATAACTTGAGGGCCCCTGGCAACGCAGCCCTCCGTGACCTTTTGCTCTGGGCCTCTTTCACCTGACAAGCAGCAAGAGGGCCAGGGAGGACAAGGGGGAGGGTGGGGAGGCCAGGAAGGAGCCCCCGCCCCCGTCTCTCTCCAGAGGTCCCACTCACCCTCTTGGTTCCCCCCCCCAAGCAGAAGGGGCACAGGCTGGGGGCAACCCCTGGGCAACCCCACTCCCCTCCCCCTTAGGCGAGGCCAGGCGGACCCTGAAAGGAAAGGGAAAAGTCCCCCCCCCAGGGGCTTTTAGGAGAGGCGGCCAGCCCAGACCTTCTTCTCCTCCGGGAGGGGACTTGAGAAAACCTTTCCCCTTGTCCCAGTTCTCTCTCCTCAATGCCAACCTCAAGGCCTCACCCTAAGCAACCACAGATGGGGTGGGGGGTGTACGGGGAGTCAGCTGTGTGAAGTTCCTTCTAAAAATGGGGAGAAACACACCTCCAAACACTAGGCATTTCAAGAAGCAAGACTGGCAAAGTGGGGGACAAAGAGGGAGGGAGGGTGCCCACCTCCCTGCTTCCCCCCACCCCAGATGTGGGTAGATATGGTTCTGACGACATTCACACAAGCCCATGGTAAGGAGCTCCGTGGTCCACTGTCTTCCACAAGAAGACACACCTCTGTCTCCATTGCTGTGCCCCCCACCCCACCCCCAAATCCCTGCTTCTCAGAGGGATCTTCCGTCGGGAAGAATGGGTGGCCCAAGGGGAGGAACGCCGACCTCTCCCAGCAGAGAATATGAGAAGAATGCCCACTCTCCTCACCTAATCAGTTTTTTTGGGGGGGGAGTGCACTTCTATTGCCCCCTCCTTACCTACCCCTCCCCAGCAGAAGCATAAATGGCCTAGAATCCTAATTAACAGATAAAACGCACTGTGCTTTTTTGCTGCAGGCACTGCTCATTGCAGGAAGACAAAAAGACAAGCAGAGCGAGAGCGAGAGCGAGAGAGACAGACCCTTGGATGACAGCACCAGCTGACGGCCTGATGCTGCAACAGTGGCTGGGAGTGACCTCTCCAACAACGGTGATGGGCAGGCTGACCTCAGTCGCTCCGGGATGCAACTTATAATGACAGGGAGCAGAAAGGCGGAGAGAGAAAACGTCCTGACCAGATTAGCAAACAAAGTTCCTAATAAAAACTCATTCAAGCTGTCAAGCTGAACAGTCAGCCGGGGCGTGGAGAAAAGAAGGGTGAAAAAGACAGACAGACAGACAGACAGACAGACAGCGAGGAACTACAACCTGGGGGTCCTTTTCAGCAACTGTTGCTCCTGCCAAACCCTGCCCTGCTCAAACAAGGGCTGGAGATCACAATGTGATGAGCACCAAGGAGGGGAAGGAAGGGGTGCTTTGCTGCCCCAGAGCAGAGAGGGCCAAGTGCCTTCCGCCATGCCCCTCGGGGAAGGAGAAAGAGCAAGGCTGGCCGAGACAGAGCTGGTCCTGGGCAGACACCTTCCACACTAACAGAAAGAGGTGCGCCACGTGATTCAGCCAAGTATTTTATTTATTTATTTATTTATTTATTTGTTTGTTTGTTTGTTTATTGCATTTATATGCCGCCCATCTAGACATAGACTACTCAAGTAGTCAATGAGCAGGTACACTGTGTGGAAGTGTTATATCTGCAACCTGTTTTTCTAACGTAACCCAGGGGAGAAAAGAGCAGCACAACAATGCACCGCAGGACACTGTGCAAATCCAAGCAGGATTCAGAACCCTGAACTCTTGGCAGTCTGTGTCCACAAGCAAATCAACACCTGGAAATCCCAGATTTTGCCTTCCTGTTTTGGGGATTTCATCCAATGATCATCTCATGGCTGCTGCTGTGGCCTGCTATCAAGTTGCTTCCAACTTATGGCAACCCTATGAAATCAGTGCCTTGCAAAAGGTCCAGCCATTATTAGCCCTGCCCAAGCCTTTCCAACCCACGTTGGTGGCTTCCCGGGTTCAGCCAACCCACCTCTGCTTCAGCCACCCTCTTCTCCCAGGATGATTGTGTTTTTCCAGTGACCTGGCTTCCCAAGAAGGGTCAAAGCTCAATAGCCCAAAAGCCCCATCATTTTCATTCCTAGACAGAGTTCCTGCTTGATTTGATCTAGGACCCCCTTCTCTGCCTTTTGAGAAATGAGCCACATGTTCTGCATCTTTCCTCGGAGGGCCCGGCAGACCAGACGCCGGCTCTGTACAAACAAAACAAAACAAAATGGAAGAAGCGTCTTTCTGTGGGCTATTGTGGTGCCTTAGCTCTGGCAACCAAATGGGCTGATACCTGATAACCAGTTGATTAGTCCTGACTCCTGAAGATTTTAGAAAGCAAGTGACTAGCCCAGAGTAAGCTCTTCAAACTGTTTCTATGTTTATTGGTTTTTCTGATCATTCTAATGGCTTTATTGCATAGACTATATTTAATGACATTATCTGCCTTGAGTGCGTTTCTTTTCATGGAAAGTAGCGATGATGGTTTGATCATGTTGTGACCCGCCCAGAGTGGTGGCAGCTACGTAAGTTGAAATAAATAAAATAATAGCCCAAGCAGAGCCCTTGGAAGTCCATGGAAGAAAGGAACTTAGACAGGTGGAAGGTTTTTCTCTCTGGAAAAGGCTCTGCCACACAGGATGCTGACCGGGGCCTTGAGGAGTCTCGCCTCGGGTCTCCAGAACAGACAATTACAGCCTTAAGAACAACACAGAACAAAAGAGAGAAAGAAGGAAGGAAGGAAGGAAGCCCTGGAATGAGGTTCCCCCAAAGAGAGAGGTTAGGGGACAGCCACTGCGGTGTGAAGAAGCCTGGGTCCTCCATTCTGGAGTGGGCATCGCTGCCAGGGCAGAGGAGTCCAGGACTCGGATATTATACACCTACGGCTTCCTAGTAATTTCCCTCCCCCTCCCCCCGCATTCCCAGGGAATTTCCAGGCCCTCTGCTCTTTTCTGAATGAGGTTCCCCCAAAGAGAGAGGTTAGGGGACAGCCACTGCGGTGTGAAGAAGCCTGGGTCCTCCATTCTGGAGTGGGCATCGCTGCCAGGGCAGAGGAGTCCAGGACTCGGATATTATACACCTACGGCTTCCTAGTAATTTCCCTCCCCCTCCCCCCGCATTCCCAGGGAATTTCCAGGCCCTCTGCTCTTTTCTTTTCTNGGCTTTTCCAGATGTGGTTTACGTTCATCAAAGTCACTCCCTTTCCCCAAGCCATTGCCCTTTGTTTTAATAAAGAACGTGCTGCCTTCGTGGCCTTCCCTTCCGTCGCCCTCCTTATCCTGGGATCCTCTTCCGACACGGGCAGCAGGTGGCCCAGGCAGGGCTCACGGTGAACCCGCCACCCGTCAGGGCAGGCAGCTTTCCCCCTGCACGGGGGAAAGGCTCGATGCAGGAAGATCTGCCCAGTAGAAAGAGGACGCGGTCAGGGCAGGTGGAGACGCCCCCCCCCCGCAGAACGGCAGCAAAGGGTCCGCCCTTTACCTGAGATGAAGATCTTCGGAGAACTTGAGGCAAGCGTAGATAAACTCCTTGATCTGGGTGTAAACACGAGGCACAAACTCGGAGAAGGGAAACTTCTTGGGGAAGGGTTGCTGAGAGTGGAAAAGCAAGGAATAAAACACTGAGGCTGGGGAGGGAAGACATGCTTCCTCTCTCACAACCTCTCTCTCTCTTTTTTCTCTCTCTCCTTCCCTCCATTCCCATGGGAAGCTGCCTGCTCTTCTCCTTCCTCTCCCTTGGGTCCCTATGAGAGAACTGTTGCCCCCCCTCCCAGGCCTCCAGCCCCCTCCCCTCAACCCGGTGCTGGCTGTGCCCTCTGGAATGGATGGCACGGGGGGACCCTCCCTGGGTAGGGGGCAGCATCCTCCACCAAACGGCACGGGACTTGGAGAGCGACACACAGAGGGGAGCCCCCCCCCCAGGGCTCGGCAGGCCTCCTGGCCAGCCGCAGGTCCCCTTCCTCCCAGAAGCAGGCCCCCTCCTAGAGACTCCGGGGACAAGCCCCTCCTCAGCCCTCAACCCCCCAGCTCTGGTCTTGGGCTCCCCTCTGCAGCTCAGCTGTCTGGCTCCTGCCCCCTACCTCCCACTCACCAAATCTTCAGTGCCAAGAAGTTTACCAAAGACCGTCTCTTTTCTGGACGCCACTGGAGCCCCTTTCCCTGTGCCAGCCTCCAGCGGTTTGGCAGCCAACCTCCCAGGGGCCGCAACCTCTGGGCCACCTTCCCTGACCCCTCCCCTGTGGCACACTCCCTTGAGCAGCCCAGAGGGGCTCCCCCCAAAGGAGAATCAAAGGGGGCCAACCTCCACCCTTCCCCGGGCCCTGCTTTACCTTCTCCAGCTCCGCATCGTGGAACGGAAACTGCCTCACCACCTCCTGATAGGCGCCTTCGCTGCCCACGGGGATGGGACTGTAGTTGTCTGAATCCAGGATGGCTCTGCAAGAGGCAAGGCCGGCGGGAAGAGAGGGGCTGAGCTGGCAACCGAGGGCCCTCCAACGGGGCAGGGCCCCACGGGCCACATAAACCATGGGAGGCCGTCCCTAGGGCAACAGGTCTTGACCCCTGGGCGGTCGGCACCAGGCCCCCACCTGGCAGATCCTCTCCCCACATTCTCAATCCCCGTGCTGACCTTTCGGGATCTTATCTAACACAGGCCCGTGCCCCTCCCTTCCCCCTCCTCCCCCCAAAGGAAACTTGAGAGGAGATGGCTGGACAAGGGCCAGCAAACATCATCATCATCAGCAGCAGCATCACCACAAAGGAGCAGAGCTTGGAGAGCTACTGAGGAAAGAAAGGCCTGCTCTGTGGTGGCACCAGAGTTACAGGAGCCCCTGCTCAGGGAGGCTTGCCAGGAGCCTTCCCCTGTGGTCTTCAGACCCTCTTCTTCTTTGCCATTCCAGTTTTGGCCGTACCATTTTTGAGTGCCCAACTCAGATGCTTCTTTGCACGCACGCACGCACGCACGCACGCACGAATGCCCAACTCAGATGCATAGCTGCTGTTGTTTTGGCCCTTCCGCTGTCTCTACACACACACACACAAAAGCCCGAGCCGGCATACCTACATACATAAATCTACAGGAGACCTACCGAAAGGCTCCTGCCCAGGTTTTCAGCAGGGTCTCACTATATTGATCCCAGATTTCAAGCAGTAAGTCAAAGAGCTGGTTGACCGGAAAGCCATAGCCCTGGACAGAGACAGGCAAAGGGTCAAAGGCAGGTCAAGCCTTTGGAGTGTCCATGCCACCACAGGGAGGGGGGGCTGCTAGGCATGGCTCCCCAATGCAAGGCAGTTGGGGGGAGGGGGAGGCAGAAATGGCATGGTCCACCTTCCCATGGCACACTTTGACCTGAACAGCTCAGGGGACTGGCATGCGAGGCCATCCCACGGCCCCCGCTCCTGGACCTCTCAGGGCCCCTCTCGGTGAGGGACCTTGGAGTGACAGCTGAGGCAGTGCTGGGCGAAGGCAGCAAGGGTGGCTGCACCAGATAACAAGCCGGCGTCCGGCAGAGGAGGGGCAGAGAGGGAACCCTTCCCTATCCCTTGGAATGGAAGGGGGTCCCAGACACGGCTGAACCCAGCGAGCAGGCAGGCAGGCATCGTGACACGTAGTGCTCCTCACCGTCAGAAGGAAGGCAGGACAGGACAGCTCCAAGGGAGAGAAGGAGGAGGAGGAGGAGGAGGAGGAGGAGGAAGAGGTTCAGAATGTGGGATGGAGACCTTCTTCTAAGCTCCCCTTTTTGAAAGGGGAGGGCTTTTCAAAAGGCTGGGAGCATTGCAACTCACCTGGAGTGTATCAGCAAAAAGTACAATGAGGTTTTTCAGGTCCAGGACAAGGTTGGGATCAGAGCAGTAGGACTGGGGGAGAATAAGAAAGGCAGGGTGAGAGGTTGATTCTTCTGCCACATTTTTATACTCTCCAGTTCTTGAAAGTGTGTGCACAGTACAGACCGAGTGGGAGTTGTGAGAAAGCACGAAATACTGATTTCCAGCTATCTGTCTCTTACAAGATTGTAACATGCTGCAAAAACCAACCAACCAACCAACCAACCAACCACACCATTTATGCATGTGAGTGCACGCATTCCAGAGCAGTAACTTTTCAAGTCTACATTTTAAAGTCTACACTAATTATCATTGTTCACATGGTCCAGGAATGTGGGTGCAGCTGAAACCCATTTTGTGCTACAAGCTATTAGGCTGAGGATCACACACAACACAACATCCCCTCTGCCTGATGAACGCGGCCGGCAGGCCACTCTCTGTCAAAAGCACCCTGAGCAGTGGGTTCCACCTAACGGAAAGCTGTCCTTCTCAGCCAACGCTGCCATGAGCTCAGGCCTCCTTCCGGCTGGGTCTCCTGGGCTGCCACTCACCGAATGGGTCCGGAGTGCAGCAATGGTTTTCGACAGGGCCATGTCCCAGAGTTCGTCAATGTAGGCTCTGTCCACCAAGCCTTGACTTGTGTGCAGGATGTGGTCCTCAATGACAAAGAAGCTACCAGGAGAAAGAACAAGGGAGGCTGTTGAGGGGCTCGGCTCAGCTCGGACAGGCTGCCATGGAGCTTTGAGAGCTGCAGACCCGGGCGTCCACTGGGTGTGGGCGGGCATGCAGCCTTGATGGGCTCCCTGAGGTGTGGTGGAAACAAGCACAAAGGCAGCCTTTGTCCAGAGCTGTGGATCGGACAAGAAGCCGGAGCTCTTGCATAAACAGGGTCCTCTCCTGGCTTCAGGGCAGGGTCAGCCTCTAAGTCCCCCTCCAGTGAAAGGGCCATTCCCAGCCCTGCAGTCCATGAGGAGGCAGGGAGCCCAACTTCTTAGCAGCCGGCCGGCCGGCCAAGAGATTCAGCAGCGTCCTCAGGCAGGAGCGCAAACACAAAAGTTCTTCATGTTGCCGGCAGGCCTCGTGTTAGGCAAGGGCAGAGACAGGGAAAACCCTCTACACGTCGCCTGCACCCTGGAGCCCCTGCACTCGCACAATCACGGTCACTGCTGAATGAAACTGAAGCTAGTTGGGCATGAAACATTTAACCCCAGTTGAACACAACTGCAAGGAGAACCGAGGATTTTCCTCTCATTTTCAACTAGCCGTGGCTTGCTGTGAGAGGGAACAGAAGTCTCTACCCCGTGATGTAAGGAAAGGAGTAAGGATCGGAAACCAGAGGGCAGCAAAGGCCAGCCCAGGGATCAAAAGATTACGTACCCTACGATTTGATTAAAATATCTCCGATAGCCATCCAGAGTTTCATGCTGGAAATGGGAAGTGGGGGAAGAAATGGAACAAGTTTAGCGCACACTGGAAAAGAGAGAGAACAAATCAATTTAAGACCACAAAGCCCATGGCACGCATGCGCACACGCGCACGCGCACACAAAATGTTCAGGGAGTTTTGATCCCGGGAATGGCTGAAGGAAGCCCTACCATGTTGGAGGGAGGCTGCAGCACCAGCCGGGCCTGCTTCCTCCGCTGCTTCCGGTAGTAGCTCTCAAAGGTTTCTCTGGCCCCCTGGAAGGAAAAGAGCCCCCGTCAGGTCGGGTTCCTGGAAACTACCCCCCACCCCCGAGCGCCAGCCTCACAAAGGAAACGGGTCCTTCCCAAAAATCGGAGCAAGAAGGCGCAACAGGAGCAGTAGGGCGCTCAGAGGCTTTTTTCCTCGAGAGACGTCCTGGCCCGCTGTGGCCAGTTGGCCGGCAGGCTTCTTCAGGGAGGTTTGTGCATTTATTTATTCACATCTTGGAGGCCAAGCACTCCCAAGACCCCCAGGGAGGGGGGTCCGTGGAGGGGGGGGTCTAGGGGGTCTCCCAGCTGGCACACCAAGGCTTGGACCAGGGGCTCCAGAGAGGTTCGGGCCCAAACACCACCACAAAAGCCCGTGCCCAGACCTGCAGGGGGGGGGCAGGTCAGTGCCAAGGAGAGGATTTCACACACACCCAATTCCACCAAGCGTGAGCAAGGTCAGCACATCCCCCCCCTCTCCATCTCCCATCCCTCTGGAGTGCAAGTAACTGTCCATTTTAGCAGCACCATCACTGAGGAGACCCCCCCCCCAAACCGGACGTCCTTCACTGCAGCCCCACCTTCCCCCACCAGCAACAGGGACTATGGAAAGGGGAGACTTTGCCTCCCATCCTCCAGGAAAGGCACCCAATGCCTGCTGGCAGTGAGCCCTCCTCTTTCACGCAGAGACACACCGTTGATAAGAGTTGGAAGGGGGCCTCAAAGGCCAGCGAGTCCAGCCGCGCGCTCAAGGCAGGAACCCCACTCCAAGCAGACCTGACCGATGAGAGCCTTGAACGGGCCCCCCCCACGCCCCCCAGCTGGCTGGCTGGCTGCTCCCGCTGCTGCGGGCATTGAACCGTTTGCCCAGAAGAGCAGAAGGCAGTTCTGCGGAGAGAGGAACCCAAAGCCTCCCTTTATATGTTCGTATGTGGAGAGGGGCTTGTGTGTGTGTTCATGCACACGTATGCGCACATGTGCGTGTGCAGGTGCACGCACAGTCTTCAGAGGCCTCAGGGATGAAGGCCAGTGGGAACTCACACTTTGCCATCCAGCTCATTTGTGGGGCAGAGAAGCGACATCGTAATTTGTGCTTGCCTCCCTTCCCAAAAGGCACCTTAGCAGAAGTGGGTGTGTGAGGGACGCCCCTCCTGGCCACTGCCTGGGGTCACCCTTGGTCCCCACTGCCTAGTGGCAAGAGTGGGTGGGCTGGCACCAGGCCAGGCAAAGATGGGCATTGCTGCTGAAGCCGCAAGGCCCCGCTGAGCATCGGTGGTGGAGGGGAGGGGGAGGAAAACCACCACACCGAATTCCTTCTCCCCCCCCACTGCATCCCTCATCTCCACTGAACTGTCCCCCCCATGCAATACTGGAAGAGCCCCCCCCTCTCTCTCACACACACACACACATAACCAACAGGTGGTATTGAGAGGCAGGCGGGAAGGAATATGCTGTCAGCCAGGGATGCTTTTCTGCTCTCTGAACTGCCTTCCTTTCCTTTTCCTTTTCCTTTCTTTTCTGGGCTGGGGGGGGGAGCGCGAGCGCAGCAGTTGGCAGAGCGGTGGTGCTTCTGTTCTTTTCCTTCTGCCTCTTCTCCAGGCTCTGTCCTGTGAAATGGAGCTACTCCTCGTGAGCCTCTCCGTCAGTAAGAAACGAGCCCAGCGTTCTGCAATGGCATGTGCCGGATCCCAGTGGAAAAATTGGTCATGGGGTCAAGCAAGCCACTGGGAGGTGGGTGGGGGAGGGGGACGACGCAGGGAAGGAGAGCAGAAAGCAATCCAAGCTCTGCCTCTGCTGCTCCCCAGATTACGGGTGCTCACAGCCCCAGGCGGTTATCGGTTATCGCAGGCCACTGACACTCATTCTTTCTTACAGCTTTTCCTGTGTCCTTATCAACGAGGCACACAAAGCCTCCCCCCTTCAGCCTTTCCCGATGATCTCAGCCCTGTGTTTACAGCTATCTAACTCTGCCAGGCCATGCTGGGTCAGCCGCACATGGACAGGACAGGACAGGACAGGCAGAAGCGGGCGATGGGCGGTGGTGGGGGATCGAGGCAGCCGCTGCCGATCTTGCGGAGACAAGGCAGAAAAGAGAGACAGAGAGACATAAGACATAAGACATAAGAAATTTATTTGTCATTGCGCTCACAAGTGGGTGCAACGAAATGAGGTGCTCTTCCCCAAGGTAAAACTGGACAACACTACAAAAAAAGTTAAAATATACACAACTTTCACCATCCAAATATAGATACCCCGTTTTCTCTCAGCAATTAAAATTCCACCAAAAACCTATGGCCCCGCATTTAAACTCAATACTGCACTTGGGTAAAAACTGTTCTTGAATCTGCTTGTCCTTGCTTTCAATACCCTGAATCTCCTTCCTGATGGTAATAATTTAAAGAGCTGATGTCCCGGATGAGAGGAGTCTTTCAGTATGTTAGATATCTTCCTCTTACATCTGTTCTTATACAATTCTTCCAAAGAGGGGAGTGAACAGCCAATGATGTTTTGGGCCGTCTTAATCACCCTTTGAATTGCCTTTTTCTCTGCCACTGTGCAGCTCGTGAACCATACACAGAGACAGTAGGATAATATGCTCTCAATCGAACTCCGATAGAAGGTGATTAACAAACTCTCAATCAATTGTTGCTTTCTAAGAATCCTTAGAAAATACAACCGTTGTTGTGCCTTCCTGATTAACGCAGCGGTGTTTGCACTCCAAGTCAGGTCATTTGTTATGATAGTCCCAAGAAACTTACATTCAACCACCTGTTCCACACAAACTCCATCTATATACAGTGGCTGAATGTCTGCAGTGCCCACCTTCACATACCTTTCACAAGGGGCCCCTCTAAACAAGGGTGACATCTTTGGGGAGAGAGTCAGGACCCTTTTTTAAACTCCCGAGCCCTCCACCTCCCTGTTCAGGGTGCAGAGATGCTGCACGCGGCTCCTGCCCTCCGCATCCAGTCCACAGCTGGCAGCAGCCACAGACCCGCCTGCGAACCTGCGCTGGGGGGTTTGGTCTATCTTCAGGCCTGGCACGGTCGCTCAAGAGGCACATGGGATGCGACCTGGATTCCTGCGCTGAGTGGGGTGGGGTGGGGTTTGGACGCGATGGCCTTAGAGGCCCCTTTCAACTCCATGACTCTTTGGCAGCTAAGCTATGTGAGAATGGGACCAGCCGCACCGTTTTTTCCTTGGGCCCCTTTAAGGAGAAAGGCTCGGTAAAAATATTTTAAATAAGTTATTAAGTAATAAATTCCTTATCAGCCTGGGAGGGCTGGGGTCTTCCTGTAAAGGTAAAGGTTCCCCTTGACATTGAGTCCAGTCGTGTTCGTCTCTAGGGGGCGGTGCTCATCCCCGCTTCCAAGCCATAGAGCCAGCGTTTTGTCCGAAGACAATCTTCCGTGGTCACATGGCCAGCGCGACTAGACATGGAACGCCGTGACCTTCCCACCGAGGTGGTCCCTATTTATCTACTCGCATTTGCATGCTTTCGAACTGCTAGGTTGGCAAGAGCTGGGACAAAGCGACGGGGGCTCACTCCGCCGCGTGGATTCGCTCTTACGACTGCTTGGTCTTCCGACCTTGCAGGACCGAGGTTTCTGTGGTTTGACCCGCATCGCCACCCCGTCCTCACCCCGTCCCCTGTGCCATAATGCCCCTCTAAATACTGGGGAGGTCTTTCTTCAAGACGGCAACACACGCAACGCACCACCATTCACAAGTGAATGTCGCACGTATGAACCCACCACCACCAGACCGCAGCGTGAAAGATTGGCCCTTTGGGGTCTTATGTGCCACCCATTACCCGTGGAGCCCCATCAGGATGGAAACAAAACGAGGCCACTTTCCCCAAGGGGGACCGGGAGAGGTTTCCAGCCACTCTCTGCTTTCTCATTCGTTCATCAAACGGCTGGGCACGGGGAAAGGGTAAGGTAGGAGAAACCCTGGGCCTCTGTAGCTTCTAGGAGCATGCCCAGCTGTCTCGCAGGGATGACTCAAGGCAGGAAAAGGTGGATGGAGACGGCACATTAGGCCAGCAGGAGGACATTAGAACTGGGAAAGGGGACTTCTCGGTGACTGCTCTGAACCCCCGAGTCCTTCTCGGGGGGGCCGCCCCGTGTCCCATCCGCAGGACAGGTGGCCCCGGCCGAGAACCACCAGCCCGGAAGGCTTCTCCCACTTCGCCACTGAATCTCTGGTTCTATCAGAGGGATGGGGGCCCTGCCTGGGTGTGTCCGCGGGCCATCATGCCCATCCTGGAGCTAGCCGGATCCCCAGGACCAAGAAGCCGCTGGGCAGAGATTCCCACCCTCCCCAGAGGGATCCTGGCGAGCGAATGCCGGCTCTCCCCGGGAGGGCCGAGGGCCCGCTCCCTCCTGCCCGCTGCCTGGCCCTCTTTCTTCGCTTTTTTCTCCTGCACTCCTGCCCTTCCTGACCAAGTTCAGCACTTCCTGGAAAGTGCCCCCCCCCCGCCGCCTATTTGATATTGTGCTCGGCCTGCCGCCGAAGGAAGGATTTACAGGTGGCCAGCCCAGCCTCCCAAGACCATGACCGAGCGCTGACCTTCTGTTACAATACGTGAACTCCTGCCCTGCTGATAAGGAGGACTGGCAGAGAGAAGCAGGATTTTTCAAATAATCCTTTGGGAACTTATAAGCTGCTCAGCCATAAAAGTGAGGTGACAGGAAGGTCGGGTTCACTAAAAATAATAAATACTGCCGTATTTATTCAAAGTGGGCCTTTTCAACTGCAGGCCAAGCCGTTTAGATAACGCTATTGTAAATGACAAATATTAGCATTTTTTGGAGCTATTACATTATGATCTTTCCGGCTGAAGCCGACACACAAATGTTTTCTCTGGTGCCCGCCTGACCGCTGACGCGGTGAGCGCTCCAAGAACAGAGCCTTGAACGCCTGCTCAGGAATTACGACTCTTAGGTCAGGGGAAATGGATCGCTTTCCTGCCCGGTCTCTCAGAGGTCAGACACAGCCACCCTGTATAACGCACATCACTGACGAGCACATTTAGAGAGTTGCTTTGCCTGTGGCTTTAGTTGGAAAGCTCCTTCATGCACACTTGATTCTTCTCGACCTCCTTTCTCGAGAAAGGCCCATCAGGATGCACCAGAAGGAAGGGGAACCTGGGAGCAAGTCAGGAAGGAGGGGCACAGGTATTTCCCCCCCCCCCCAAGGACAACATGCAGAAAGGCCCTGGCGGCCAGCTTTGGCTGCAGAGATAGAAAGATTAAGGAAGGGGAGGCATTCCAGGGTGGAAAAGAGGCCAGGAGGACATGGGACTAAAATTGGGAAGGGACGCGGGGCTCGGATTTGGGAACTCTGGCCCCAGAGGTACAGCGGTCCCACTCAAGAGAGCAGCAGGCACAAGCCGCAACCGCCCGTCCACAGCACCCGGCAGAAACTTTAGCACCTGCAGACCAGCCAATTCTGTGCTGCAATTGCAGGAGCCCTTCCACCCCCCCCACCACCACCCGCTCCCTCTCCTGCAGGTTTCAGCTAAAGGCAAGGATGCAGAACGTCCAGGAAGCCACGGAGACCAGAGGGGGACAGACTGCCCTTGGTGTGACCAGGGAAGACCTTGCTCACGGTGCACAAGCCAGGCTGACCTCCCAAACGCGTGCAGCATTTTTGACTGGGGAAGGACGGCCGCGGCCCTGTGGTTGGCCAAGGCCTGTTCCCAAAACTCCTCAGCGCCTCACCACCTAAGTCCTTTCACGGCAGACGCCCGGCTCCGCTTCCGCGGCTTGTGAAATCTGCATCTCGGGTGTGGAAGTCAGCTCTTCGCACAGGCGCCGCTCCCACCCACCCGCTGCGTGTCTTGCCCTGCATCCTTCCCTCGGCGCGGGGAACCTTCCCACCCAGCCCAGTTTTTGTCCCTCTGCCTTTCCCCTCGTCCCTGGGCCTTGAAAGCTGGAGCCCACGACTCATTGAAGCCGGATAACTGGGGGGGGGAGGGCAATTAAGGGTCCCAAGGGGTCTCGAGAGGCTTCTTGCGAAACCCCTTTTGCACAGACTGGTGGGCGTCGAAGGGCCAAAGTTGCCTTCTGGCTGCGATGGGAGCGGATCGTCACGGCCACCAGTCGTGTGCCTTCGCCCTGCCACCGGCCAGGAAAGAGGAGCGGCTGCCACTCTCCCTCAAGGGAGAAGCCAAGAGACTCGGCTGGACAAATGGCCGTTCTACCAAATGTAAATGTAACACTACCAAAAAACAACAAATGTAACACACACACACACACACACACACTTCTGAAGTGTCTCTTACCTTTCAAACACCCTTCATCAAAGAGAATCCTGTTTTATGCCCAAGTAAAAATTTGCCCGCGCTCGTCTGTACCCGAGAGGAGGAGCCCACAGAAAGCAGAGGAGTGACTGCGAGTGACCTTCTCCCACGGCTGTCTGAAAATCCCACACACCTCTCCCTGCTGCGTTTACAGGCACACACGGGAGCGCAGAGGCCAAGGGACTTACCAAGACTGAGTAGATATGCAAACAGCGGTATACCGGTGAGAAGTCCACCAAGTCCTGGGCGCCGGGCACCTGAGGAGGCGACATCAACAGAAACACAGGGATCAGCGTCTCACACACACATCATGGAGAAGGCGTGTCTCCCTACATGGGATTTGGAGCTGTGGCAAGAAGAAGAGAAAAAGCTGCCCTGGAACTCTCGGGAGGAGGGCCTGAGGGTCGGGCATAGTAGATGGCCTTCCTTCTCCTAAGGCAGGGGCCCGTGGGCAACGCCTCTTGCACCACAGGGCAGTGCTTGGGTGCTCGCTCTCCCCCCCCCCGCCACCCCATCTCACTCCTACACCCGTCTGTTTCTTGAAAGGCCCTGGTATTGTTTAGGGCTGCCAACCTTCTCACTGTTTCTCACTTGGAAAGAGACAGGCGGATGGGCGGACGGACAGACTGGGAAAGGTGGAAGAAGCAGGAGCAACTGGGAAGCTGAAACAAGCTTAGGGCTACTGCTAATTCAGGACCACGGATCCTCCATGCCTTAGAGCCAGTTTGCCAGGAGAGAGCCGCTCAGCGACATAGGAAGCCCTGACCCAGAATCAGATCCTCTGCAAACAATGCAGCCCCAGGTTCTGTACAGGCAAGAGGGAGGCCTCTTCTGGGCACACATTCCACTCCCTAAATGGACAACCCCTTGCTCTGGGCTGGATGGCCCCACTGGTGCTCCTCTCTTCACCAGAGGAGAATGCTGACTAAGAGGCTTTCAGCTGGAATCCCAACGGTCACAGTTTCATCCCATGGGCTTCTCGGAGCCAGGCTGAACAGACTGGTGATGGTGGGGGGTGACACCCATCCCCAGAGTGGGACAGGACTGGACGAGGACCTGATTCTGGGTCAGCAGAGCAGCTCTCTCACTGCAGCCTCCTGAAAACTGGCCACGATCCAAGCCTCCTGCTTTTTCCCTGATAACAATGTTTTGCTCAGTATGAAAAGTGCTGGTTCAGACCTTTACTTATGCAATGCACCTTTAATTTTTCTTATGTAGAAAGCACAGGAAAGTAAAACTTGAGTACTTTGCTGACATCTGGAGATCACAACAAGGTTGTGATAACTGCCAGGAGATCTGGAAGGGAAGGACCAGGGTGAACGTGCAAAGGACACCACGAGGTTGCTGATGACACTTTCCCCTCTAACAAAGCAGAAGATTATTTTGGCTTTGGCCATCAAAAACAGGGTCTTGGACAGAGAAGGACAAACGCTGTTTAGCGCGGCCCTGAAAGTCTGCTCTCCGCTGTACTTCCAGCTACCTCTCACCCTCGGACGCAGACCCAACTACCTTCATCTTCTAGAACAGCCACAAGACCGCTGGGCATGCACCCTCGCTAGATGTAACATATTACCATCAAGTCTAGCGCAGGGCAGGTATAGGGGCTTACCAACAGAATTGAGAATCTGCCCATGTGGGCAGGGAAAGACTGAATCCCTGCAGCACATGCTATTTTATTGTACACTCTACAAGGATATCCGCCTGTCACATCAGATGGTCTTTCTCCCCCTTCATTCCGGATGGGCAGACCTGAGGAAAATACAATACCTTCTAGGTGACCTTAGCAAGGAAGTCACTCTATCAACCGCCAGATACGTCCAGGCCATTATCCAGAGACGCCGCAACATGTTCCCCCAAAACGAGGGGCTCCAACTTTGATGTTCTGGTTCCTCCTCCCCCCAGTAATGAATCTTTCCCCGGTATTTTATTGTTTTATCGTTTTATTTATGCAGCATGCCAATAAAGGTTTCTGTACTGTACTGTACTATTTTGGCTTTGGGCTCCTAGAAGGGCAACCCTTTCCCCCAACCTTTAGCACCATAGTCCACTGTAAGCCACCTTGGAGCCTTAAGAGAAAAACGGCATATAGGTATTTTAAATAAATTAAATAAACATATTCCAATAGCCAGCTGGAGAAGTCAAACAGGGTCCGGAAGGAAGGATGTTGTGGCTCTGACAAAGATAGGTAATAAAAAAAATGGTCAGTGGTTGGTTGGTGCAGATAATTGAAGAAAATACATCATCTCAAGAAGAGCTGGTTCTCAGAAGAAGATGCAAAGGATGCTTCTAACACAAAAGGTTCTCTGACGATGGATTAGACAGAAATCTGCCTGGGTATGATTTTTGAAAATACATATATATTAAGACATACGGTGGTGCCTTGCTTAACGATTACCTCATTTAACAACAAAACCGCTTGACGATGAGGTTTTTGCGATTGCTTTTGCAATCGCAAAACAATGTTTTAATGGGCAAAATTCGCTTCCCGATGATCGGTTCCCTGCTTCAGGAACCGATTCTTTGCATTACGACGATCAAAACAGCTGATCGTCAGGTTTCAAAATGGCAGCCGGCTGTGTAAAATGGCTCCCAGCTGTGCTTTAGGACGAATTTTTCGCTGCACAGGCATCGGAAAATGGCTGCCCTATGGAGGATCTTCACTGGACGCTGAGGTATTTAGCCCATTGGAACACACTGAGCAGTTTTCAATATGTTTCAATGGGCTTTTTTATTTCACTTGACGAGGATTTCGCTCTACAGCGATTTTGCTGGAACGAATTATCCTCGTCAAGCGAGGCACCACTGTATATAGAAATAACTAGTGGATTCTGTTGAAGTGGGGAACTGAATGACAAGACAGCCTTTTAAGGATTCAGGTGAGTAGCAAGGAGCCATGTTTTACCATTCTGGAAAAGGTGCCAGAATAGTTAAGCAATGAGGAAAAAAACTATTTGCGTTTTTAAAAACTGCATAAGCTGGGCCGGACATTCTTTGGGATTTAAACCCTTCCAGGAATAGGAGGATGAGCATCCTTCAGGGAAGGGGGGCTGGGGTTCATGGCATGCCGAGTCCCCCTGCTGCAGCCCCCAACAGGGAAGGGTGGATCCTGCCTTCACCTGGAGAGCCACCTCCAGGCGTTGCTGAACCCGATGGACCTACGATCCAGCTGTTCGTAGGAATGACCAAAGGGCCACTGCGGGCAGAGGAGGGAATCGAATGAGGGGGAGTGCTGAGCTGCCCTTGAGAACTCTCCTGTCATCCTACACTCCCGGATGATCCCTTTTCAGTGTGATGATGAATCTGCAGTTGCAGCTCATGGGGTGGGCCAACCAGAAGACCCAACAGAACGTGCTTTCTGCTCCAGAGCTTCTCTGCCCATCCAGGTACGTATTTTCTACCTAAAACTAGCAGCAGCACCTCCACAGAGATTCCACCCACTCCTTTCAACGGGAAACACCAAGGAATAAGACCAGGTCCTTCTTTATGCAAGGGATTTGCTTTGTCCTTGAGCTGGAAATCTTATTTTATGCTAGGCTATCATTATTTCTGTCTTTTGTCTTTGTTCTTAATATTCCAATAGCCGCTCTGAGTGGATCCTCTTATTTATAAATAAATAAACATAAGTGGCAGCGATGTAACTTTTCCCACCCCAGCCCATCCTCTTTTTTTTTAAAAAAAGAGATTTTTTGTTTAAAATTGTTATTGGGGGGTGGTGTCTGCACTCCTTCAGCAAGGAGTCACTGGTGCACCTCAGCTCCCACCTCGGGCTCTGCATGCTGGTCTAGGAAAGCACCACAGTCGTGACACCCTCGTCCCATTTCAGGGGGCTCTTGGTGACGCACGTGTCTTGCATGGCTCACCTCGTGCTCCTACTGAATAGAGGGTTTTCTGCACCAGGGAGAGAAAGGCCATGTGGGACCAGGGCAGGTTATCTCTCTGTCTTTATGGGGAGCTCTGCCATGTGCCACCTCTGGCAGAAGTACTCATTTAAGGGCCCTCCACGCTGTGGGAAGCCAGCCCCACGAGACACAACTCACGGATCGCACTCGGCAGCTTTGCTTTCTAGAACTTTTTTGAATTTTGTTGCATCCCATTTCATCATCCCTAGCTCAACTCCGGACTCTTGGCTCTTCGCCTTTGCCCTCTTCCCCCGCACTACCCTCTGAATTACACAATACATCTTGGCAAGCAGTTCTCTCTCACACAGATCTTGACATCACGGGAACAAAAAGGAAGTGTAACATAATGGACTGAAAACACCTTTTTTGTCCTTAGTTTCCACACGGCACACAGTTCTGTGCATTTTTTTAAGGCTGAGCAATGGTCCCCACAAAAGGCAGGAAAATGCAAAAAGCCAAACGACCGTTCCTTCCTGATTTGCCTATTTTTTAAATTTATTGCACTTATATGCCGCCACGTTTCATGGAGGAAAGAAAGATGCAGCCCCTCGGCAGCATCCCCCTCCTGAGCGGTCCGTGGGTTGTTAATTTATTGCACTTATATGCCGCCCATCTAGACGTTGTCTACTCTACTAGTGCAGAAAATGCAAAAACGTAGCTCCTCCTCAGATGCAAACCAGAGAAAATGCTCTCCCGCCCAGGGAGCAAGGCAAACGTGGTGCTCCACCAGGCCACGTTTCATGGAGGAAAGAAAGATGCGGCCCCTTGGCGGCATCCCCCTCCTGAGCGGTCCGTGGGTTGCCTTTGGGCTGGAAGGACAGGGCCCGGCATGGCCTTCTGAGGACACCGACCGCGCCCCCCCCCACTCTGGGTGGTGGACCAAAGGGGAAGCAGGGGTGGCAGCTGGAGAGAGACCCTTCCCCTTTCAGCGACGCAAAGGCTTGCGGGCGATCGCTGGCAAGCCGAGGGCACAAAGGAGCGGCTCTCTGAGTGCACCCGAGAGGCCCACGTCCCCTGCCCCCTTGCCCTGCCCCCATTGGGGCCATTCCCTCCGAGGGACCGGCCTAGGGCGGCAGGCCATCCTGCCACGACGCCAGTGCTGGGGCGGTACTCGCCTCTTCCTCTTCCTCCTCTTCCTCCTCGACATCCAAGATGCCAGAATCCTGCTCCGACTGGGGGCTGGCGGTCCTGACCTCTGGGTCCGAGCTCGTGGCATGCGCCTCCTTCCGGACTCGTCGGCCAAGAGCTTTGAAGGGCTGAGACGTGATCTTCTCCAGGTTCCTCTCCTGCTGGGGCTGGAAGAGAAGCAGAGAGCAAATGGCGTCAAGGCGCTCCTCCGGCCGGCCGCTTCTTCAGGAGTGGGCCTCAGGGAACCGAACTGCCTTTGCCTTTACCTCTTCCATGCCGAGCCCCTTCCCTCAGGGAATTAAGCCCTCGCCCAACGCGCACAGGCGGCTCTCCACCACAAATCATTCTCCGAAGCCCAGCACACCACCAGAGTGATCGGTTTATGGCCCAGATGCATTCATGGTGGACCCGAAGCCATGTGGCAGCCTTTGCCGGATGCATTAAGGACCAAGCATGACTTTCCTTTTGGACGTGTTCCTCTTTTCATCCGATGTCAGTAAAAGCCTCCCACATCTGGGCCCCAGAGATCCATGAAAGCATTCTTGCTCTGCCCTGGGAAATATGAATTGCTCAGCGTTGATTGACACCATCTGCAAAATGCATTCCGCCAACACAGGGAGAGGAGGACGGATCCTCCCTGGGCTTGGCTCAGTGGAAAGGACAACCTGGGCAGAAGGCAAGGGTCTTCGCTCGGCCTTGGTCACATTCACTCTTAATCCTAATGGTTTTTTGTCTATAGCAAACACATTACAAGCGGGTTTGGGGGGGGAGCTAGAAAGAACCAGGGGGACAGGGGAAAGAAGGTGAGGAGAAACGGGCGTGACATTGAGTTGCCTAATGAAACTGACAGTCTGAAAGGGAGCAGGGATTTTCCTGTTAGATAACACCACCGCATCCATAACAGAAAGGAAAACCCAGCGGCTCCAAGGCTGTAGGGCTGGACGGACAAGGTTTAGATGGGCCTGGGAGCCCACAGGCACTCCTCCAGAGCAGGGCTTGGACAGGGGTGCTCATCTCTGAGCTTCACAGAAGTCTGAAACAGCCAGTGATGGCTTGTCTCCATCAGCCTACAGCAAGCCATGGGGCGAAGCAGGGCAGGGGGCTCTAGCAAGGCCCTCAAAGAATGCAGCCTAAAAGGCTGGAAGGGGCACAAGGCTCCACCTGTGTGACTACCACCCAATCCCACAAAGCAGACTCGCTTGCCACCCGCCCTCTACTCCACCTGGCCCTCCCCGGTGGGGAAATGAACGAGGCACCAGACGAGATGAGACAACCAGCCCAAAACGCCCAGCGTCTGCCCCTACCTGAAGGGAAAGAGAGAAAAGGTGAGGCTTGGCACCTGCAGCCAGGAAGGGAAAGAAAGAAGGCCAAAGAAACTCACGAAACCAGCTTTGGGCACCAAGAGGTGCAAGAGCACGGAAGGCTTTGTTCCCGTGCAAAATCCAGACCCACAGAAGCTGGGCAGAAATGGGAACACCTTGCTTTTCCTCCTCCCATTCTCCTCGTCATCAACACCATCAAAACAAAGAGCTTCCCCAGAACATGAGCAGTGCCAGCCTTTCCTCTACCCTTTCAATCCTTAGCCAGAAATGCAAGGAAAAGGCAACAGGTAAACAAGAAACACCCATCTGAGGGGGGGGGAGGGAGGGGCTGCCGCACTGGATGCAGTGGGGCCTGTGTGCTAACACTCACCGCAGGCAGCTTGCGGCAGGCCTGTCGGTCCCCCTGTTGCAGGAGGTCAGCAGGAATTCCAGCACAAGCAGGTCTACCATGTGGCAGGGCCTGCTTGTATAGGGAGAGCCCTTGCAGACCCCAGGTATACAGGGCAAGAGGGTTTGCTTTTTTAAAAAATTATTTTATTTTAATCCTGCCCAACTAGTGGCAGAGCCACTTTCCTGGGCAGCTAACAGAATGAGGTCAGAATAACGTTGTATAATAACAGCAGCACAAATAAGGCATCGTAGCCAGCGTGATCCCTTAAAAAGACCATAAACATGGACCGATGCTGCTGTGCTTTGACTTGGGGATCCTCCTGGCACCTGCCTTTCCATAACGCTGGACAGCACCCAGCGGGTGGCTGTACATTTCCCTCCTCCACGCTGCCCCCAACCAAAAGGGGGGGCTGGGGGGGACATCCCTGACGATATTGGGGCAACATTTATAAAACGGAGGCGGGTATAATAAGGATCATCCAAAGTCGGAAAGACAGGGTGTTGCCACAGGGGCCGCAGGAGGAAAGAAAGGGTCCTGACCAAGAGGCCTGCCCCTCCCTGTTGCACCCAACCCTGCGCCAGAGAAAGCAACGGGGGGGGGGAGTTAAGCCTCTCTGCCCTCCCGGCGGTCCCTGCCAGGAGGAAGGCACTCCCTGCCCCGAAGAACAGCCCTGCCAGGGCTCTGCGCGCAGCCGTGGTGCGACCCTGACCTCTAGCGGCAACACACAGCCATTCCATGGTGGGGAGGGGGGAGGGCTCAGGTGGATCCGCTGCAGCAAAGCGAAATCCATCAGCCGCAGGTAGACCAGGCCGCTGTTAGGAGGACTGGCTCCTGCCTTCACCAGGGCAAACTCTTCATCAGACCAGATGGCAAAAAGGGGATGGCAACCTGGGTGGACGTTGGCTTGACTTGGTCCCAAGATGAAGGAGGGGGTTGAGGAGTCAGGGGCCCCTGCCTCCTGGGAGGGAGGGAGGGAGGGAGGGAGCCCCGGAGGGTCCCACGGTCAAGCGACCCCAGCATCTGCACCCAGCTGTCCTGAAAACGCCCAGGCTTCTTCCCTGGCATTGGCAGAAGCGCCCAGCACTTTGCGTGTAGCTGTTCTTTGGAACTGACTAAAAGGGGTGTGTGTGTCGATTACGCTGAGCGAAAGGCGCTTTTGACCTTCTCTTTCTGTCCCGGGCTTTACCTTTCGGTGCCTTTTGAATGATGCTCAGCAAGAGAACTGCAGAGCTGCCTTCTTGTTTCGCTTTGGCAGGAGGGCTACAGCAGCGACACAATATTTTCATTGTGCTGTCCACCACAACTCCTCTTTCTTATGATTTATTTAGTTTATCTAAAGTATTATTACCCCGCCTTTCTCCTTAAAAGGACCCAAGGCAGTTTCTATCATTAAAGGAAAAGACAATATCTCAGAAAGAGTATAAAAATACTGAAAAGGATCAAATGCCATACCAAAATAAAAAAGAATAAACACCACCGAAGCCCATTAAAAGCAGCAATGCATAACAATCCATGTTAAAAAAAAAACCCACTCAGGCAACCAGTCTAAGGGAAACCTGCCTGAAGAGAAAAGTCTTTGTCCGCTTGAGGAAGGACAGCCAAGAGGGGGCCAGCCTGGCCTCCAGTGGGAGGGAGTTCCAGAGTCTAAAGGAGCAGCCGCAGAGATTGTCTTCTCTTGTGTCCCCGCCAAAAGCCTCTGTGGAGGTGGTAGGAACGATAGAGACAGCCCCCCACCCCCCATGACTTCTTGGCCATTAACTTAGATCTGATCCTTCTTCATGTGCCTCTTTGCCTCTTCTACATACCTCGACACCCGTCACCCGTCGTACACACACACACACACACACACACACACACACACACAAAATGACCTGAATACTCCGTTTATCGACCCTGGAAGGACAGAAGGCTGAGTCAGCCTTGAGCCAGCTACCCGAGTCCATTGGGATTGAATTCAAGTCATGAGCAGAGTTTTTTACTTCAATAATGCAGTTTAATCTCTGCAGCACCAGGCTCTTACACTGAGTCTCCTTTGATGTTCTACAGTGGACCCTCTACTTAAGGAATTAATCCATATTGGAATGGTGGCTGCAAGTCGAAAAGTCTGTAAGTCAAATCTCCATTGACCTACAATGCACTGAAAACCGATTAATCCCATAACCAGTGGTTTTTATTCTATTTTTATTCCATTTTGGTTTTTTTCTGGTCTGTAAGTCGATTCTCTGGCTGCAAGTCGAATCTAAATTTTGCAGCCAGAGAAGTCTGTAACTCGAAAAGTCTGTAAGTGGAGCCGTCTGTAAGTTGAGGGTCCACTGTACTTTAATGCCTCCTTCCCCCTAGAGTTTGGAAAGATCCTTCTGGAGAGGTTTGCCACCTGGTTTTGTTTTAAGCGCCCTAAACAACTTAGCCCCATCGGCAAACGCAGCCCCCCTCCCTCCAGGTCACTGAGGACTACGTTTGAAAGCCCAGGTTTCAGGGCAGGGATCTTACAAGGGGAGGGGGACGCTTCTGGAAGTCCACGTAAACAATGGCTGAAATCCAGTCAAGTCACACCTAGAGTAGGAATCCCACGGAATCCGTAAGGATTTGGTGAGTCAACACCTATGGGAGTTCCATGGGTCTACTCTAGCTGCACCTGACGACTGGATGTCAGCCAACATCTCACAGATCAATTGTACCTGCTTATTCGCTGGCACTTTCAGTGAACTTGAAAAAGTTGATAAGGGAAAGCCTGCCTTCACAGAAACCACACTGATCTCTTTTCTTTTCTTTTCTTTTTTTAGCACAACAGCTGGTCCTTCTGCAGGTTTGATTCAAAGTTTTCTTTTAATAATAACACTCACTAGTAGTTTACCCAGAACAGACATTAAGCTAAGTAGACTTTAATTTCTTGGAACCACCCTTCAATCCCAAAGTTCTCAAGAGAAAAACAAAACAGTTACTACACTGGCCATTCTCCAGTCTTCTGGTCTCGGGAACATCTTGCATATTTTTGTCGGAAGATCAGCAGTTTCACATTTGAGTTCTTTAAGAACTCGGGTGGTTACCATCTGGACCCAGTGGCTGGTTTGTTTGCAATTTGTCAATAAGACAATTTATCATTTTTAAAGCATGGCACTTATTATTAAAAGCACTGGAAAACACAGGTTGAAGCCCGCATGTCACCCCTGCTGAGTTAGAGCTGACACATTTGCGCTTTTAAAGAAGAACAGAAACAGGAGGCAAAGCTCGGCTGGGACGGGCTTGGCTACCTGAAAGAAGTAGAGGCAGGATCAAGCCCCCTTCTCTTTCTCCTTGCCCAAGCTTTCTCCAAGGGAGCAGGGGAACCGTTTCCAACGGCTGGCTTCCCTTTCAAAACAAAGTCCCCACTGCCAAACACAACATCCCCCTGCTCAGAGGAACGACGGCAGCAGGTGGATTCTGCCGCCTGGTCCCCACCGCGAAAAGGGGGTCC